TGTCCTTGAGTTGTGCGCCTTTTGGCGTCATCTGGTCCAACCCATATGAGACTAGGCTCGAAGGAAAGCTGTCTCGGGTGTGGACCAATCAACTTCAAGGACAGTGCACATTATCAGAGTTATGTCTTTTGTTTGTATTTATGACTGCAGGTATTGCGGTCTATGCAAACATGACTCCTTGCAAAAAGGTGTCAGTTTTGTTGCCAGATAGAAGGGTAAAGAACCAATTATCATATTTTTACTGGCAAATGAGGTCCCCATAGTGTAGATGCTTGCCCCGAGCTCTCATACTCTGATGGTGCATTGTCCTTGAGTTGTGCGCCTTTTGGCGTCATCTGGTCCAACCCATATGAGACTAGGCTCGAAGGAAAGCTGTCTCGGGTGTGGACCAATCAACTTCAAGGACAGTGCACATTATCAGAGTTATGTCTTTTGTTTGTATTTATGACTGCAGGTATTGCGGTCTATGCAAACATGACTCCTTGCAAAAAGGTGTCAGTTTTGTTGCCAGATAGAAGGGTAAAGAACCAATTATCATACTTTACATCACATTTCATCCATTCCCGTGCGCTACTGCGGTCTAGCCAAGAGGGAATGCCAAGGGACGTGGTTGCGGACATGAGCAATTGTGGACTTTTGGCTTCGAAGACGATAAGAGTATAGGTCTCTCTGTAACTATATGGATCATGTAAGTGTATGCAATGATAGGGCTTCTGATTCTGCTTGAGAGGAATGGAGCTATTGGCTGGAGGTGATCGGTCACTCATCATTTAGAGCAGAGTGACTGATGTGAGAATCCTCGTGGGGGAGAGGGGCCCTTACTGGAGGCAGCTGCTGATGAAGTCCACAAACTCCGGGCCGTATTTTGCGAGCAGCATGCAGAGCGGGCGACTCCCTGGCACTCGGATGCAGCCAAACATCTTTGGCTGCTTGTCGGATTCTACAGGTAGCACGCACAGACAGGAGAAACATTTCACAACCTATATAGCTGTTGCACACCGGCAGCGATGCCACAACAATGCGATGCCATAGCACTATGCCCAGGCCCAGCGGTAGCCATTTTGCCGCTTGTTATAGAAGTTTGTAGGGTGTATTAACCATAACAAAATTCGCATTGTTTGCTTCACAGTGGACGTTCCAGATCCCGTGACGTCATTAGAAATTGTCGGCCATTGCGTGCCAATGTGAAAAATGAAACTGAAAATTACTCCATTAGAAGTATAATGGAACATCGCCCACTACTGTGAAACTACAGCAGACCGTCTGAAATACAGCAGCACCTTCATTCTAGCTCATTAAAATAATGGCACACCAAATGTACTCTGTTATTATGATAATGATTAATTATTGTAATAAAACATACAAATAAAATGGAATGTTTGGCATCATCTGGCATGGGTTTTGGTACGACAATGGAACATATGCATGATTCATTATCGATATTTGGGTCAGGCTGCTTAATGACTGAGCCACATTTTCTGCTGTAGGACCCAATTGTCAGATGTACAAGCATTTCAAGGCTAACTGCCTGGATTTCAGTCCGACTTCTTGCATCCTGCCCTGATGATGCTTGACGCAGTTTCAAGTGAAACGTTGCATCTAATTGCGAATGTGGGTTGTAAAATTCTAAGTTGAAATATTTATGGGTGGTTAAGTTAAAAGAAGAATAGTTGGCTCGTGAAACACTTTACACATTCAACTTTCATTTGTGTATGTCGGGTGTCGGAGGATCTTAATGACATAAACGGTCATATCATTAAGTGTTTTTTCCGGAAAATCTATTACGAGCCATGTGCAAAGATAGCCCCCCGAGAATATAACAGTTCTGGCGCACCCCCTCAAACTTAATCCAGTCAGCTTGTCCCTTCAACTTACCAAAGTATTCGTAAACTTTAGGAGCGGCTTTCACCAAGTCGTCCGGAGGCAGCCCCAGGACCTACGCACGGTTCACGCAAAAAACAAAGATGCCTCATATAAATGTAACTGACTGTTGTGGCAAGTGCTTTTAGTAAGCACCTATTAAGGCCAATGCAGCACACTAGAGGATGGGCCCCATAGCAATAGGTACTTGACACACCACCTCACATGATTATTTAACGCTGTTGGCCTATGTCCAGTTCAGGTATTTGTCAACACTCTTGGTTGTAAGCGGGAATCAAACTCAGGTCACGAGGTTTGCAGCACAGTTCACTAACCACTACGCTACCACTCCCCACGGTTCCCCCACAGGTGCAGGGCAGTGGTAATGCCTTGGCCCAGAAGTAGCACTTTGCCACCCAGTTTTTACTTGTGATGTGTACAAACCGTAAACTCCTACGTGCCACCTGCTTTATTCGCAGTGGATGTAATGATCCCATGACGTTATTTGAAAGGAGTAGGCCATTGTGTGCACGAGTTATGGTCCTGCAAGTGTGCTGGATGTAGCTTCAAGTAAAACCTAATTAATTTCTAAACTTGATTGCAAGAATTGTTCTTCAAATTACTGGTGGTGAACCTAAACAGGAAGCTGTTTAAGTTTGTGCATGCATGACGATATATTATGTCTGGCGGTATCAGAAAATGGAGGTAAAAAATATGCCCAAATCAATACGTGACCAAGAATCTATTATTCACGAGTGAAGTGTGTGTTTGGGCAGTACCTCCATGCAGCACACCAACTGGTCATCAAAGTTCATGGGGTTGAAGATGGCTGTTCCGGTTACGATCTCCACCACCGTGCAACCCAGAGCCCACATGTCCGCTGAGCAGGTGGACGAGTAGCCCAGGTGCCCCTCCGGAGCCATAAACATGAGGGTACCGAAGGTCATAGCGGCTGAAAATCACAAAGACAACGATCCCCATTTAACCTTTAAAAGCATCAACTGACACGTCATTACCCACACACGGTCACATGTACATACGTGTGCGCACACACACAGACACAGGGGCATACAAAGGCAAACAATCCCCATATAGCCTTTAAAAGACTGTTGGGACAAGTGGTGTTAGCGAGTACTTATGAAGGCCGGCACGGTACACGGGATGGGTGGCTACCACCACGCACTACCGCCTTTCTCCAAAGGTGATGTTTACACTTTTCTACAGGTGTAGTGCCGTAGATGGGCCACGCTTACCGGCAGTGGTAGACGAGGTCCATCTGCAAGGGTTCCCCTTACCGCCAGGGCAGGGGCTGCCATGCCAGCCCAAGAGGGGAGGAGCTGCTGGGGGCTCAGGACCCCAGACAGCTAATCCCCTCGGTGCCACCAACGGGGGGGCTGCGGGGGATCTACAATCCCACGCAATGCCACCCCTCTATGGGCAAAGGAGCATAAAAGGGGACCTCCCCAGCCGATCGGGACCAGTCGCAGACGAAGTACAAAGACCAGCCAGCTTAGGACCCTGGACCCCCTCGCCCTGCTTGTCCTTGTAAAGGCCGGGACGCTGTGCGGGCCAGTGGTGGGACTCTGGGACTCTCAGCTCTACGCCCTTGTAAGGGCGAGGTCCGAGGAAGCCATAGTCTAGACCGGCACCTTGGCTGGGTCGGGTCAGGTAGCCTCCCCTCAGGTAATTGTAGCCGGAGGACCCGAGAGCGTAGCCAGTGTCAGGCACGCTAGAAGTAGGCTATAACAGTGTATCAGGACTGTTGTAGTGGTCTATTGTAATAAAGAAGTTGCATCTACAAAGTGTCTCCGGAACCCATTACACAGGTATTCATTTGATACCGAGTCGGTGGTCGTGGCGGCTGTGGTGTCACTGCTGGGCCATGTCACAGTAGAGATGTGCTCATGTGGGATTACAGGATTTCGAGCCGGTTGGACTTGGCAATGACTGTTACCAGCGGCGTTGAGATCAGTTTCGTGAAATACGACACAGGGCAGTGTCAGGCAAGGTGGACTTTGAGGCTACTTGGCAGTTGACGGCAAGTCGCCACTCAGGCCCAGGAGCAGTTCAGATAATCGTCACTGGGGTAGGTGGTTGTTAACGGGAATGGAAGCCGGGTCGCTAGGTTCATAGTGCAGTGCGATAACCGCTACTAGCAATCTCACTCAGGTGAGGGCACTCACTTTGACACCCCTCAACGTAGCTGTGTCCAAAGTCTGTGACCTTTATGGTCCCTGCCGCGCGGTCCTTGACCAATATGTTTTCCTAGATGAAGAACAGAAGAAGGGATTCACAGAGGGTATAACAGCATTCATCCAGCAGTCCAGTGATCATGTACCAAAATTGCTAAATATCTACGAAACGGTGAGTTAGACTAGGTGACTCTCTGTCATAAAGGTTAGTTGCAATGACAGGATATATTTACTGACAGCTGCCACTGGGGGTGCCCTTTCAAATGTTAGATGAGATGCAAGTCGATTATTGCTTGTAAAAAGAGGCCCTAAAATAGCTAAAGCTGCTAGTCCACGCTAACAAGTTGGGAAAAACTATGTACACGCATGGATTCGGTAACGTTTTCCACCACGCGTTTGTCTTGGAAATAATTTATTTAGCCGGATGGAGGCTGATGAGCGCCCAGAAAAATAGCTTAATAGCTCAATGGGCTTTATTTGGAAAATAAACTCCTGATTCAAAAATTAATTTGTATATTTACAAATTGAGTAATACCCCAGGTTACGTCGGGGATGCGTTCCAAAAATGTGCAATGACGAATGTCCAAGCAATGTAAAAGGGGAAGACATAAATCAGGGAATTACTGGAGTTATTTATTCTCCTGGTTTGTGTCCGCCAATAGTTTCTTTCTAAGCCAAGTCAGTAATAGCAACACAACTTTGCCCAAAGTCTGCTTCACATTCGATCATCTTTATCAGAGTTACCATGACTCGCCCACCGCCCCTCCCAGACAGATGAACATAGCTAATACATTAAATCCATTTGATCAATGTGGCTGGGGCTTTCTCCAGGTTTACAGTGAGGTTCCGCCAAACACTGTGTCCACTCACAGGCTTGAGGTCACCGTGAATAATTTTCTTCGCCTGGAGGTGAGACAGGCACTTGAGGATCCCCTTGGTGAATATTTTCACCTCCTCCATCCGAAGGGGCTCGGCATTCCGGCGACGATTCAGGTCATCCAGGGTTCCGCTGTGAAAGAGGCAACAATACAAAGTCGGTGCCATTCGGTGAAGTTCTGATTCATATAATAACAATGGATTATTACGCTTAACACAGGACATCCTCACGCCTCTTTTCAGGAGGGTCCTGACAAGTTTTGACACTAGAGGGGGCGATGTTGTTGCTATGCATTATCCCAATTTAGTAATGTGTCGGTAGTATTCAGCCATTGGGGTGATTGGCCAAGCACAGTCACATTGGGTATTTATTAGAAACAATACACGTTTTATCTTACCAACTGATTGAGGGGATATGGCTATGTAAAGGTGAGCAAGGCTGGCAGAGAAACGGCAATGGCTGCCAGCTCGACATGTGTCCCAATTGAGTCTTAAAACGACATATTGTCGCAAGAGCACGTCAACGCAACGATGCTACCTGACACGTGGTAAGTACCTCAAGAGCTCCAAGACGATGGCGTAGTGTTTTCTGAACTCAAACCAATCCAACATCTTGATTATGTTGGAGTCGTCGGTGTCCCACGCCTGAACTTGATTCCCGATCTCTATCTCCCTCCTCTGGAGATTGGCATGATTGGCGCTGCAAAGATATAGTCCACAATTTTATATTATCGATAATAATAAGGTAGACTTAGACCATGCTCACTATCAAAGACAGAGACCTATTCAGATGCGTGAGGATCCACATACAAATGGGAAGGCAGCCAAGCAGTGAGCTGGCACTTACAATTTCCCAAGCTGGGAGATCATTTGTATGTTAAGATGAATCCGCCAATTAATATTTATAGTCACAGATTGGGTCGCGACCATGAAGATGGCTCTCAAAGCACAAGGCTATCGCAAAGAGAGGCGCTATGATTCACAGACACAGTCTGCAGTAGTTTCAGGGTAGGGGCCTACTTTAAATTCAGTAGTAATTTTCAGCATTGGGATGTTTAGTTAAGCCTGTTTAAATTGTATGAGGGTTTTTTAGCTTTGAGAGGTAACTAGAAAATCTGGAGTAAACCGATGCGAAATAGGGAGATATAAACTCAGAAAGGCACTCGGGCCATTCATGCTGTGAGGCACAAATGTTACCACTATGCCACCCTGCCTTCTCTTATAGTTCCGTTAATAACATCAGCCTGATTGTGGCATGGGCCACTGTGGAGTCTTACCTCACTGGAATGCCCAGAATTTTCACCGCCACCAGGCTATTTGTCCTGTGGTCAAGACACTTGACCACTATGCCTTGACCGCCGAACCCAATCGTTTCCAGCACCTCATACCGAAAGTTGAGGTGCTCGTGCTTTACCTGCGCAACAATCACACAGTGGTTAAGTGCCGATTCAATCGAGGCTCATTCAATTACTGCTAATTCAGTGCTCGTTAGACAATGTAAAGAGAGACTTAATCCATGCAGTGACAAAGAACACGAGTTACAGAAATAGCCTAGCTTTGTCAATTCCAGTGAAGGGTGAAGACAAGACTTGATGTGTTCATTTGCCGTGCTAGATAACCATTTTGTTGGCACACAGCACGAAGGTCCTGGATTAAATGTGCAGTTCAGTCTCCTTTTGCGTGGAGTTATGTTCTACCCCTCTTTAGAAAATTGTGAGTGTGTAGAGTTTGTATGCTTTCCCCTTGTTCTGCATGGCTTGCATCCTGGTTCTTTGGAATCTGCCCATTGCTAATAATCACTCACAACGTAACTGGTGATGGCCAACCATGCTGAAAGCGTACCTGCAAATTGATCAATGGATTTTACACACAGCAACCTCGCTAAATACTGCGGTAAATTGTTAGAACCGTCCTGAAAAATGTATAGCAATGTTGCTATCAGAATCAAAGTGTATTTCCAGAGTAAATACATTGACATCAAATACCAACTGCATATATGCAGGTAATTTTTCAGCATTGAGATTTTTGGCCAATACCAGTTACAACGGGTGTGTGACTACACCGTGGTGTGATAACGCTATGATGATACCGTGTTGTCAACACTGCGGTTGATTATGCTGAATGTGATGACGATGATTATGATGATGATGACACCTGAAGTAATAACTAGGGTGGCCTGCCGCATTCATTCCGCAAACTTTTGCAACGAGCAGCAAGCCCACTACCACCGAGCCATGGCATCACCTCCAAGGCGGGTATTTTGTGGAGTGTCTTACCGGAATATAATTCTTGTCTTCATCATCGTAACCATTATGGTACAAGCCCTGAGCTTGATTTTGGAGCCCAAGGTACCATATCTCCTGCATGGCTAAGAGCTCTGTTCGCTCACTTTGGGTCAGGTAGCTGCCGTAGAGCTGCAGGATTTCTGTAGAAATGACAATAAAAACAATTATTATTACATTATTTCTATGCTTGTTTCTTATTTTAGATTTATATCGTGCCTAATTACAACGTGCATTCCCACAATTATAACATTGTGCATAAGATGATAATAGTTGAGACAAAGAGCAGGGTTATTAAAAGTGGTGGTGTAGTTATGGTGACAGGAGAACAGGCATGAGAGGTTAAGGAGAAGTGAGGGTAGGCCTGGTCTTAGCTGAGGGTCGGGGATGAGGGAGCAGCAGTAGAGGCAGTGATAGGGGTGATGATAGGGGTTGAGGTAGTGATATAGGTTGGGGTAGGCTTGATCGCAGCTGAGGGGCCGAGTCAGGGAGTAGCAGTAGGATGGGCAAGGGAGAAGAGATGGCTTTTATTTAAGGGAGGAACGGAAGTAGGTTTACCACGGACAGCCTTGTTCCTGCCGAGTTATTGCAATAGGGGCTGATGGTGTAATCACAACTGAATAACTGCAGATAATTGTTAAGTCTTGAAAGTTTGGCCAATGACAATAACAGTTTGTTTTTTACGTGAGCAAACTCGAGTCCCTGGAGGAAACTCATGCGGAACAGGTAGAAAACATAGACTCAACAAGCAGAGCCATCTGAGTCAGGAATCAAACCCAAGCCTTATTGCTGTAGTACCACTGTAACACCTTGCTGCCCAAACTTTAGATGCCATATGAAAGCACATTGGGACAGAGGAAAGAAATTCATCATTTTATCGTAAGTCTGGTAGACAATGAAGGAGAAAACACACTTAAGTAAACATGGGAGTTGTAGTTAAATGGTAACTCTCACTTTTATAAGCACGGTTGCTAGGTATTACAGCAACACTTCCATTGCACAAGCCAATCAGCTGCCAATCAGCTGCAAGCAAAGTTAAGCACCCATGCAATATGGCTGTCTTCACATCCCCCAACCAACATGGCTGACGTAATGTCCTCCATGTAAAAACTGGACAACTTGACATCACCCATACAAGAAAACCAGCAACGATGTCACCCATGCCATATGACTCACTTAAAGTCACCTCTAGAACATGGCAACCATGACATCCTCCATGCAACATTGCCGCTGTCACATCCGCACTCCACCATGTAACATGGCCGATGTGACATCACCAATGCAACATGGCCACCGTAATGACAACTCCCATGCAACATGGCTTATATGATGTCCCCCATAATTGGTATTACCTTGTGGGGTTTTGCACTGGATGGAGGATCCGTCTTGTGAGTCTGAGAGCGCACTCCATCTCACGTCTATCCTCTCTTTCTCTCTCGATTGGCTCGCCTACACACACAAAAACAAATGTCCACAATATAGCGTTTAACAAACTGTTGGAGCAAGTGCAGTTATTGAGCACTGAGCCAGCATTGCTGAAATCTTCGCTTCCAAATTCAGGAGGGTCTTGGCATGTTTTATTGGCAGTGCGTGATGTTACTGGGTGTAATCCCAATTTATTCATTTGCAGATTTTTTTTCAGAAGAGGATCACATGGAATAGAGAATATACGCAGGTTAATGACAACATTCAAACTCTTAATAAAAATTAGTGGACTTACAAAGGACACATTGTGGCAATAAGGGATGTTGACCATTGGTCAAGAAAAATAACAGTGACAGCCAAGAAATGGAACACATCTGAGAGATAGTCCAACTAGAAGATGGAGCGATAAAATCATCTCAGCTAGCAGGAGCTGAATGGAACATTACATCACAGGATATTTAGAGGTGTCATCGCCTTGAGGAGGCCTTCATTCATCAGTGGAGAGATAAAAATGCTGTAGATGTTCTGATACTGGTAGGAACCTCCTGGTTACACCGGTCAACAGGGGATAATTGTGTCCATCGTGCAGGGAGGGGCTGGGTGGGGAGGGAGGGGCTGGGTGGGTGGGGAGGGTGGGGCTGGATGGGGAGGGGCTGGGTGGGGCTGGGTGGGGGGTGGGAGGGGTGGGGCTGGTGGGGAGGGGCTGGTCACCCCGTGGGGCCCTTATAAAACTCAACGTTTAACCTACTCACGCCGGCTTGTGCCCGCCCTCACAGTCGGGCATATTTGCGGAATACACCACGCCGCCGTTGACCCTGGCCATTGACCGAGCAACCCAACGTTCCTACCAGCTCCTTCCCGCAGGAATGTGTTTAAAATAGACATTCAGGTACACAGACAAAATCTCAGTCAGACACACTTTGATGCCTAGACACAGGCAGGTAGACACACAGCCAGGTAGAACTGGTGAGGAGTAGGTGCACGGATAGAGTGTAGAGAACACAGGCATGTGAATCACATATTCGCCCATACTTCACCACGCAAGTTTAAGAGCCGTACCTCCATGTTGGCGATGTGCAGAACAGGATTTGCAGAGTGTTTTGTGTCTCACACCTTCTGGGGCTCTGTGCGGGAAGCGGGAGACGAGTCTCGGGTCATACACAGTCTAGGATCATTTCTCACAATACGATTCACATCTCTATATCGTGAAATCCTGAACATTTATATCATTACTCATTTGGGATTGCACATCGCCCTCTACTGGCAGACTAATGACCACTTGCAGGCCAAGTGCTGAGCCACCTGGTGACCCACATAAATAGCTACCACTAGAGGTTGAATGGGGGTGAGATGGGAGAGTAACGTGTGAGGCAGAGCAGCAAAATCCATCATTGTTCTGCACTTCTATGCTTCGCCGTCTCTGTCCCCTGACTTAACCACAGCTCCAACACAAACTCACATCGTCAAAACGGACATCCATCATCGACACGGGCTCACATCATCAACACGGACCCACATTGTCAATACGGAAGCACACCATCAACACGGACCCACATCATCAACACAAACACAGTTTAACACGTAGACTTTCACGACTGATATCATCCATAATAGAGTTCTTTTTGGGTTAGATCGCGTAAATATATGAATGTGTCGTTATAACCCGCCACCACCCGACACAGACAACTAGTAAGGGTTGTCACTTTAACAGAACATGCCAATTCGTCACTAGTACAGAACACCGGTGTGTTGGAGAGCCAAGCCACAACATTTACAATCTGAGTACGACGTTCAGCCACTAATTACCACTAGCTTCATCAGGCGACAGCCACATTTGTGAAGTCTAACTGTTCCGTTCTTTATATACACACATTAACATGGACCCAAATCATCCGACTCACATCATCAACACAAACTCATATCAACAAAACGGACTCACATCATCAACACGGACTTGCATCATGAACACAAAATCACATCGTTAACACATGAAGCTACCGAATGTATCCAAGTCTAACTCTGATTCGTTCCCACTCTGTTGCTCTTTCCCCACACCTCTTCCACTCTCACCTGTTCGAGTATTCGCTCGGAGTGGCTTCAGCTACTTTCTTTTGCGTCCGTCTCCTGCACGTGTCTCTCCAACATTGAGGTCACGTGGCCCGAGACCAGATGTCGTGGCTGTTACATCACAGTGACGTCAAAGACCGAGATTCAGGAGATCCCCGCCCCCTTTTACCACTTCCGGTGCTGCGCGGCCACGTGGGTGAGTGACGTCAGGGCGGCCAAAGTTTCTCTTCCGGGTGTCGTGGCCGCCATTGGTGACGGTCCTGGGCCTCGCTCTGGGTCGACTCAGGCCGCGTGGCTGACGGGATGTGTCCAAATACTTCGTCACTAGAGGGGTGAAGGTGCAGCCCTGCAAGTGCTCGCTCTCGCCGCTGCTGGAGAACGGGTTCGACGAGAGCAAGCTCTGGAGAAGCGCTTCTGGAGGTGTATTTATTGTTTTTGGCCTACTCTTCCACGTCGGCAAGTACATCCTTGGATGAAGGTGAGAGAGTCCCCACACTTTACCGCACCGCACAACGCGTGTTGGCAGAGTGGACTTGCAATGCAGTGCATGAGTCGGCCGCTTCAATTGCGTCTCTCATTCACCCAGCCACA